AGAGAATAATCAAAACAGACACAGAAGGGTGCCGAAACATCCGAATGATCTGGTCGAAGATTACCTGGGTCATTCTCGATCCGGATGAGATCGAGGATCTCATCACTAGGAGGAGGACAAGTCTTGTGGCTAAGAAGACCACAGTAATGAAGAAGATTATCGTCCTTAAGAAGTACTTCTAACGCAACGGTCTTGGAGTTCCAAGTATAGACCCGTTGGTCGAAAAGAGGATTTGAAAGAGGGGCCGAAGCCGCCTCTTGAGAAACTTCCTTGACCCAAGGGAGGGAAAGCCAAGGGAAAGGAACATCGGGCTGAACAAAGACAAACTTGTCACTCCACTTAAGGAGATTGGAAGGGATATCATTGATAAAGTGAGCACCATTGCGGCTCTTCAGATATAGGCCTCGACCTTGCTTGGAAGGGACATACCGATAATGGAAGAAATGTAGGTCGAATAGACCTAAACGAACACGACAGAGGATAATAAAGGTGGCCATAAAACGGATGGAATTTGGGGGGAGTTGGTGCAGAGAAAGCCCAAACCATTCGCAAATTTGAAGCAGTTCAGGGCACAGAGAAAAATAGAGGCCAAGTTTGAATTGGATTTCAAAAAAGGTGTAACAGTCCCTGGGAGGATGATCGTATTTATCAGAGGGAGAGGACCTATAGAACGACCAACCGCTAGGACGACCAATTGTTTCGGCAGAATACCATCGGTAGAAAGAGAAGTAGAAGAAGAGCGTTTTGTGGCATTTTTGCGGGGTTTCTTGGTCGATGATTTGTGGGGGAGAAGTGTTTGAGGTACCAAGTTGGGAGGAAGAAGGTGGAAGGGTCGAAGATGGAGGAGAAGTGGGCTGAGGAGGAATGACCTCGTCCACTTCTGGTTCGTCTAACTCACCAAAGGCAGGTCAACGACGTCGGAGAGGAATATTGTCCATAGTATCCCCTGAGTTGGAAGAAGCGACACGGGCAGTAAAAATGATGGTGGGGACGGTCTCACCGGGACGAAGAATCGAAAGAGGAACAGCCTCAAGTGCGGAAGGCAAAATCTGAACTGAATCAGAGGAAGTGGTCGAAGAGGGAGATGGAGGTGCAGGATCTGAAAAAAAGAGAAAAAAACAACAAAACAACAAAAAAAATCAAAAAAGGGAGGAAACTTTCGAAAAATGGGAAACTTCAGAGAATTAGGGCTTTATGAGGAAATAATTCGAAAAAATTTAAAGAGGAGAACAGGGATTCCAAAAGATTTTCGAAGAAGGAAGGGCGAAGTTCACAAGTGATTGACAAGCGAGCACCAACACCCAACATACAAATTCAAAATACCCAATCAGCTTCAAACACCCAATTCAAAAAAAAATTAAAACGCAAAATCTCAAATACAGAAAACGTAAAATCAAATGAGGAACAACTTACTCATAATCGCAGAGGGAAGAACTGGAAATGCTAAAAGGTTGCAGGAGGAATCTCTAAAAGATCTAGGGTTTTCTTTTTTGCAGAAGAGATTTTGAGCACAGAAGAGTCTAAAATTCGCAAAGGTGAAAAAATTGGAAAATTTCTCTAAGTGCAGAATTTATGCTGCGGAAAATTAAAGGGTGGAAGATGAAGACCGTCGAATTATAGTCAGATGTAACGGTAGAAAGCATTAATTTGCACAGTACTCAAAATGGGCGCGTTATATGAGGAGGCGCTATCATTAGAACGCCTGACAAGTGTGGCAGATACGACGCGTGGCAGAAAAGTAGGCGCGGCAGAAAGGACGGGTGACAGGCGACCTTATCCCTAGCAATTAATGAGGTACTTTTTGAAAAAATAAGCGGAAAATCCATTAGATGGTCGATATCGGACACCATGCTATCCAAGAGGTCGACGAGCACAAATTCACTCTTAGATCGAGTCATTCAGACTCGACCAGAGTGAGGAGGGGACTAGATGATATAGGATATTATACCCACCATGCTAAACTAATCTACCGAACCAGACGAGGAGGTCATATCACGAAGGAACCGTACACAGTGGCGGGAAGATCGAGCAGCTTATCTGTCGACCAGTCAAGTAGTCTACCAACCCATCACTCGACTAGACGAGTGATCGAGCAACTCAGTCGACCTCAACAGGTCGATCATCTTGTAGACCTGACACTCTAATGAATCGGCCTAGTCACAGGCGCAGGTGAAAGCCTCTAACGGAATTCCAGAAGAACATTCACTCTATGTGCAGGAGGACATGTGTCGAGAATGTTGGGTTCTGTTAAAAACGTCATACAACATGCACAGTATTGAACTTTATCGAAATAAATCCTAACGCAGCAGAATCTATAGTTAGGATATAGACGTTTACCTTTTAATATTTTTGC